CCTGAATTGATTTTTATATCTAAATTTAGAAAGTAAACATTTAAGTAAACAAGATTTGTGCCGAATGGGTGAAATCGGGTGGCATCTAGTCGCTAGAAAGTCTCTATGGGTGATTCCTTAAATCCTCCCTTCTTAGGCTTAGATCTTTCTTCATTAATCTGTAGGTTTTTCGTCCGATGCCAAAGTTTTGTCCTGTATTTCTAACGTATATACTCTATACCAATATCTGTATACCAAACATACAATAAGGTGTGTACATTGTACATTTTCCAGTACTAATATAAGTTGTAGAGTAACAATTCTATTCTTGATGCTATGATAACTTCCTAATGGTTTAAATTATAGCTTTTTTGTTTTAAACTGATATAGGTCTATTCTAAGTTTTTTTTTTATAAACATATGTGTATCTAAAGAGAAAAAAATCTCGGTTTTATTGCAATGCTCAAAGAATTACAATTTTTTTATTGGTATTATGTTAATATGTGAATAATTATGGTTATATACAATTACAAGGTTTACAAGGTTCTAAAATTAAATTCATCTAGTATCGTTTTATGGCAAACTACATCATTAACACCTAATTTGAAACACTATTCATCTACAAAGTGAACATATACAAGAACTTGGCGGCACTGTTAAACAGTATAGGATACAATTTTTGGTAATTATAAACAAAATTATAGATAGAATGGGTTCATAAATTCAAAATAAAAAAGTTTGGTAACATTTGTGTCAGGAAAAGTTAGAGGTTAATGATTTCAATTATATAATCAATTATATCAATTATATCGAAGGTATTCATAAGTAGGAGATTTATTCCTTCGATTGTGCTAAATGAAATTATGTTAAAGAGTTTGTCTAAATAGAGATTTTTCATATTAAATATCTGTCCAAGAATAATTTCCTGGAATTTTACTTCTTCATTTAACGGATTAACGTTTTCATAAAGTTTTGCTGTTTTGATTTAATAACATTTCGCATATTCCTTTAAGATCATTTTGATCAAGATTTCCAGTGATATATCTAATAGCAGTACCAAACACATCAAATGAAGTACATTTTTTTCTCTAGTGCTTCAAAAATGTAAATTCTTCTTGAAGAGATAATAAAGAATTTTCTAAGTTAATATGTAATATATGTTTTAATAGTAATAAACACTTAAATTTTATTATTAATACTAGTTAAGTTAACATGAAAACAAGTTTTATCGTAATAATTTACAAGTGAAGCTAAACTTCTTTGTCTTTGAGGCCGTACTCTCAAATGAAATGTTAAATTACGCTCATTCTGAACTTTTATTTTTTCATTATTTTGCATTATATTACTAGATTTTTTTTTGTAAAAATTTGTTTATCGAATTGAATTTTGGTATCTGGAATATTTTTATTTGCCTTTTCAAGAATTTTTTGACTTTTTTCATTTACTTTGCCCGCAAAGTTTTTCATAAAACAAGTAATTCTTTACGGGTTTTTGCATTATAAATTTCATAGACAGTTTTATCAATTTCCATCAGATATTTATTTAAATATTCATATGGACCATAGAGTAATAACAAGGGATATATAAGTATAGCCGTAATCGTTAAGTCTTTAATATGATTTGCATTTTGCATGGGTAACACCCTTAATTTTTCTTTAAGTGTACTGTGAAATTTTTCCAAGTGTGATAAAATTGGATTCATTGAAGATGTAACGTCATATTCGCCATTATGCACCTTGAGATATTATTTTATAGTACCTGACTACAATTTAAGAAGGTTTGCTGAACTTAGAAAATAAACATTTAAGTAAACAAGGTTTGTCCCTAATAGGTGAAATCGGGTGGCGTCCATATGTTGATAGTAAGTCCCAATGGGTGATTCTCTAAGTCGGGGAGCTCACTAAGGGTCCGCGCAGCTCACTCTAATTACAAAACAACCACATCACCCTATATTTGAATAGCAGTCGTATACTGAACATGATTTTATCTTCACTTTGGAGATGCTGAATATCTGAGAAAGCAGTTTACTGTTTACTGCATCCTCATAGCATCAAGTAAATTAGCATAGCTTCCGCTGCCTTCCAAAAATCAGTGTTTAATAAACTTGCAAGAAAAAAACGGTCACTTGTAGTTGCTGCACGTTAAGAATCTCATAAGAATCTCCATTTGTGAATGTTTGTATGTCTCTTTACGTCTCTTACTTTTTTATTTATATATATTATATTGTTTATAAATCTCTATATCATGGTTGTGCCACACATTGTTGTATTGATTTGGAAATTTGAAATATCCAAATATTAGTTCAAAAATGGCAACTTGAGAATCGCTGAAACACCGCGTTGATTTTCCGAGACAAAAACCCGAAGGAAAAGTTCACGAGGCGTGTAAATCGTTGGCACTTCGTACAAATGCGTTTCCCTTCGTATAAATTACGCCATACAATTACAGCTTCATCACAATCGACACTGACACAACTTGTCCAGGAATAAACTCGACACTCAGAACTGCCCGATAAACTCATTCCCGCTTTCCGTTCGTCGACATCAACTGGACCTTTTATTTTAAATGTCATTCGACCGAAAACGTGCATTGCCATTACAGTATCGATGGTGTTATTGGAATTAATACTGAATGACCCAATTGGCTTAAGTAAAACGCGGTAAAATTTATTTACTATAATAATTCTTTTGCGTTAATGTATCCACTTACTTAAGCATCTGATAATCTATGTTCCTTTGACACGCTCAACCTAGTAAATCATGTCGCATTAGGATATTTTATCCTACGTTGGAGGCATACATGATTATTTACAGATATAACGACACATTTTATAGGTAACAGAGAAACAAAGATGTACCGAGATCAATTGAATCAAACGATGCCCTCTTCTTAAGTTTTGCAAAAGATTTTCGCGTTGCGACGTACTAATGCAAGCAAGCGTCTGAGCTGAAGCGCCACACATTGGGTAGAAATAGGTATTTTTCGGAAATGTTCCTGTAATTATCGAAAGACACTTCATTATTCCAGTTTTCATGATTTTTTATAACACCAATACAACTTCAATGTATGTTTTAAGTTAAATCAAGCGTGTTCCGAAAGGGTTTTTATAAATAGAGGAAGGAATTTGTCTTACACACGATATTACAATTTATACAAAACAATTTTTGATACTAAGCTGCCCATCAGTTTTGGTTAGTTGCAACAGAGAGCAAGGTGTTCATTACAAATACATAGAAATTGATTTCATATCTTTGTTATAAGTTTAAATGTGCTATAAGATTTTTCGTTAGCTATCTTTACAGCAATTTCGAACAATATTCCAAAAAAACTATTACAGCAAAATTTTATCAAAAAAAACCTTTATTTCCCAAAGCAGCCACTTTCGCAAAGCAATTCCTAGCTTATTCCTTTCTAACTAAGTGAGGATCAATCTTTATATATCTTCTAAAACCCCCCGAAAGTCCCCATCCAGCATATATCATGTTTCTTTTTAAGTAACTATCTTTCTCCAAGGAGAATGGACCCCGAAAAAAAAACTCACCATTTTAATGTTCCATGGGTCCCTTTTTTTAAGTAAAAACACCATATATTTTGCAACTTCCTAGAAAAGATGCCACAGTTAGGAAAAATCGCAATAAAGAACGATTTTTATAGAGGGATGTTAGTAATAATGAATTTGAAGATGTAAATCTCTAAAATAGCTTGAAGATTCAACCGACGAGCGAGGGAGCATGTCCATATTGCTTCTGTAATCTGCCAATTACATGAAGGAAATTTGCTACCTAAAAATTGATAAAATTGGTCTTCTGATAAGGCAAAAGAACTAATTCGGATGCTTTTTACGATTATTGCTGCAATTTATGTCAATAGCAGTTGAAGTCGTTTGAAATCCAGCAGATGATATAAATCGGGAGTCCTAAGAAACCGATTTTTGATAGTTCCCACTCCGAAAGGAGCAATTAAATAGATTGCTTCGATGGATTCCTTTCTTTCTTATGTGGTTGAAAAACGACACAGACGGATATACGCGTCATTTCATTAAAAGCGTTATATCACTGAAACGACCAGGAAACTTCAAAGTTATAATATAAAGAACAAGAAAAATTCTGACACTCTATACAGCTGAAAAATAATATTGATTGTTGTATTTTCATCACCTTCTAAAACCACCGAGATGTTTTTTATGCGCCATCGCTGCCATCACGGTTTTAAAAGATACAGTATTAAAGTCACCAAAAATTACTTAAATAGTATCGCCAAAACTCGATGCTTAGCCTTGATTTAAAATTTTGCATCGCTCAATTTTTAACTTAACTCAATCAATTATTAAGATGTGAAATTTAATCCGTTAATGAGTTATAGTTTATATATACACACTACATTCCGGGATACACTATATTCCGGGATATCATCCGTTCGCTTGTTGAACTCCAACTGGAATCCTGCAGACGTTTCGCCAAAATCTCACTTGGCATCTTCAATGCTCGCGCTCCGAAAACACTTCGAACACAGCGGAGCGCGAGCATTGAAGATGCCAAGTGAGATTTTGGCGAAACGTCTGCAGGATTGCAGTCGGAGTTCAACAAGCGAACGGATAATATCCCGGAATATAGTGTCATCACATTTTTCCATTTTATTATATATATATATATATATATATATATATATATATATATATATATATATATATATATATATATATATATATATATATATATATATATATATATATATATATATATATATATATATATATATATATATATATATATATATATATATATATATATATATATATATATATATATATTTATATATATATATAATAAAATTATCCATCTAAAACTTAGAACTAGTCTAGAAAGTCCGCGAGTGAGTTGAAAAAGCTTGATGTTCTGTTAAGTCAAATAAAAATTAACTATCCCGAACGAATAACAAGCTGCATCAAAGTTCCAATGGTTGTTTATTTGGTTTTTTCAATATTGTCGCCATTTCCAAAAATTTAAACAATTTTTTTTCAGAAATGCCTGACAACATTGGATTTAACGTCACTTGGTGTCGGCAGTTGCGTGGGTACCGGTATGTACCTCGTTGCAGGTATGGTGGCAAAAAATTGGGCGGGCCCAGGCGTAATTATCAGTTTCATCATTGCCGCCATAGCTAGCATATTTTCGGGTAAGTAAATTTTACGTCTGGAAGCCACGGTTCTCAAACAGAAATCTGTTTCCAGAAAGTGTTTGTTTTCTATTCCAATCACGTTCAGAAAACAAGGAAGTTGCTTTGATCTTTAATGCATCCAGTTGTCTGTATGGATTGAATTTGAATTGAGAGAATATTTTTCGACAATATCCACAATCATTTTCGTGATGTAAATAGTAAATTTAAATTGGCGACATCACTCCTAACAAGTTGATTGGAAAAGATCTACACTGGTAGATTTGTACCTCAATTAATTTAAATGCTAAGTTCAGTTTTGTATTACACAGTGATATCAAATTCCCATTTTTTAGAGGTAGAGCTGGTATAGCTTAGTATAGTTCTCTCATGTTACGATTATTATTGAATCAAGCTTGACATAAATTTAGTTTTTACGGCAAAACACTGCGTAAATCCATATAAAACAGGCAACATTTAGGTGGTACAAGAAGACGTTTCATCGTCGATTTGTTATGACCACTTTCAACCAATCACAATTCCGTTGGATAAACTAAATTGGATCTTTGCCGTCTAAGAACAGTTAGAAAAGCGTCGGCCGACGGCAAAGCAGCTTGCACAGTCTTCCGTTTTCATTTGTTTTATATACGTTCGAAGCAAAATAATCTTATTTAATTTACTCAAAAAACAAATGAAATTTTCTTGGCTTGATTAAACTTTAAGATCAGTTTGCTCGAAGCTCAAATTACAGAGATATTCACGCAACGCAGTTCAAAAAGTTGCTAATAAAATAAAAGGTTAAAATTGGCCTTTTGGGAAATTGTACTAACTGGTATTAGAGCATAAATCAATTTTAACTAGTCCAGTCAGCAGGGCACACGAAATATCCTAAAATTAAGCTTAGACAAAACTTAACTGATTATATTTTCCACTAAACCATAACTAAAACACGACAGCACACTCAACTGTTGAGTGGACGTACAAACATAAACAAAAAAAAAGCAGATTTTAATACAAATGAAAGTTTTCAGTACTATACAGCTTATTAGACCTACTAGGTTTATGTCAGAATGAGCCTTTTAAAATTTTACATATTTCTACAGCCAACTGAAACAAGCAAAATCAAACATTTTTTTATTGAAAGATAAACCATCAACGACTGACTTTATTAGATTTTTTTCAAACTTGACTAGACAATATGCTTCACTTAGTTTAAATCTTAACTTAGATGGTAATCGAATTAAAACAATTATAAATACAACAAATACAAAGTAATTGCAACTCTATGTATCACATTTTATAATCGATTTAAATTGAGACCTTTGCATGCCCATCAATAACTGCCAGTGACTAAAATTTATTTAAGCTTGTGTTAATTATTTATTAACACAACATCTTGTGCTGACACGAAAAAAATGCGGAACTTTGTGAAACTGAAAATTAAATTATAAAAATTGTGTCTGCTGTCCAGAAACCCAAATACTATTAAAACTGTGTTAGTACGAAATACCTCTCAGGTGGCTATAATTTAATTAGAATGCCAAATTTTGGAAAACAATCTATGAATGCAACTGCTTTTGCGTATGCTACTACTTCAATGTAAAAACTGATAAAATGATAAATTTACATTTTTGTATAGTCTGTCTCTGTCTGTCTCATGATGGCTTTCGACGAACCCTCCCCAACAAAACTAACGATTTTATTATCTATTGTTACTTAGCTGTCAAGGCAGGGATGGGTCAGGCATATTTTTATCTCTCTGATATATTTATTGAGGGTTGACCATTTGTGGCAATGTGGAATAATCGTTTTTACTGTGCCTATGAAAATGAAAACGAAGCTAGAATAAAATGAAACCAATCCTCCATAGAGTTCTTTGTGAAATGGGTTTTAAGTGCCACAAGATATACAAAAGTAGTAATCGAATCTCACTTGGAGATTTAATTACCGTCAAAAAATTAAATCGAAAGAATGGGACGATACCACTCAAAACTCAAACTACCAAAGCAACTTCAAATAAAGGAAAACGCATCACCATAATACATGCTGGGTCAGAAGACGGGTTTGTCCCAAACTGCTTGCTCTTGTCTGCAATGAATATTAAGGATTCCAGCTTGGATTATCATGAGGATACAAGTGCCGAACTTTTTGAAAATTGGTTTCAAAACAATATTTTAACAAATATTCCCAATAACAGTGTTATTTTCATAGGTAACGCAAGCTACCACAGCCGTCTGCTACGCAATGCACCAGCCTCATGAAGTTCAAAAAATGATATTTATTTTGAATGCAGTTTCAAAAAGGCGCAACTTTTGAAAGTCCTGAATTCAATTACTATTAAAAATATAGTATGTATGCGATAATTTGGCTGCATCGGCTGGGCATACTGAGCATAGAACATTTGTGGAACCAAGAAAAAATCAAAGGTCAGATTAGAAAATATTACTCCTACTATAAGTCCCATTATAAAACTTTTTATAAAACTTCCTCCTGCGTCTTTGAAAAAAAAACATACCAAATGAGAGCTGGAAAAATTCAATGCAGCATATTATAAAAATTGAGGACTCCTCCATTACTATACGAAACAACATGAATCCTGTCATAATTAATCTCAATGACGAATCTGATAATGTAACAGAATTAGATTTTGGAAATTTGGAATAAAAATGTAATTATGTATAGATATTCCTAACTAATAATTTATTTATTTTTTAGTGTAATTTAATAAGATTAGACCCACCTAAATAAATAAAAAAAAATATTATTACCAAAATCTCCCCTAATGTCGTTTCATACTTACCGGACCCGAGTTTTATTGCCGTCGGCAGGTAACTTCGATAATTGTGGCCAAAAGCCAGCACCACGAAGATTGAGACAGCAGGCCTCAGAACAAGCCTCAGAATATTAAAACACTGTAATTAAAAACTTGGCCTTTCGAATCATACATTTTGGGTGACTACAAAACTTAGAAACTTAACTTATTTTCACATAGTAAGTTAATAAAAAACCTAAGAATTTCAGAACTAAATATCTAGATTTTAAAAAATCCTCTCCTTTCTATTGACTCAATAATATATGTTAAATATAATACTTCCTTTTTCGCTTCCTACCGACCGTTTATATTTTTTAGCAGACTGATAGACATCTTAATAAAAACAACCGCAAACCACTTAGTAAATGTAGGTTAACATTTCTAAATAAACCCCACCCTCGCCACCAAACATTCCAATTCCACGCCGTTTTGCTGGCTTCAAAGAATCCACGAGTCACAGCAAATTTAAGCAATATACATATTTGTCACTTTGTCGGAGAATTTACCGGTCTAATCTGATCAAAGAAACCAATATAAAGTAAATATTTTAAGCGGAAAACCGATCTGAAAAGCATTCATTCAACTGAAAAATATTTTTTTCAACGGTCACGTCAAATTCCAATTCCGTTCCATACACTAAGGAAATTACACCGTAACGAAATCGAGAACTCCAAAAATTACTTTCTAAAATTGCTGTATCAGATAAAACAGGCGCCTTCTCTTGGATAATTACCCACGAACCCTTACCGGGTCGTTTCGAAAACACGACTTGCGTGTTCCAACAGTTGAAACTGTAGTAAATTAAACTTTAAAATGACTAGACTAAAATGATTAGTTAAAATTGTCACTTCTAAAAGTTAAAATATTTTGTAGAAGGTGATTGGAAAGGAACCCTCTCATTATTTATTACGTAATCTTTTTTGTTTTAATATTTCAGCCGTAAGCAAGCAAGATGATGAATTTTTTTCATTTCCCCACACACTTCTACAGATTCTACTGGTGATTACGGTCGTGGATTAATATTATTATTGGATTCGTCATTATAATTTTTAAAGACAAAATAGTATGTTATGCAACAAGTGCGGTAAACGGCAATTGACTCACGAGATTATTTGACGCGAGCGGAGCGCAGCGGAGCGAGTTTTTAATAAACGAGTGCATTAAAAAGTTTTTCTACCCCCGTCTGTAAAACACCTAATTACCCACCGATGTAGCGTACGGGAAGCGTCACTTTACCACGTCAGTTTCGTTTCCCAGAAATCCGAGCCACTTCGGACATCTCCGGGATTTTACCGCACGGATTTGGGAGCAATCGGATGATTTCGGAGATATTTCCCACGCTTTGAATTTTGACGTTTGCCAATTCTGACAGTCAACTAACAGTCGTAGAAAAAGTATAGTATGCAACACGTTCGGTAAACTTTTTAACTCACTCGTTTATTAAACAAATGCCGTTTACCGCACTTGTTGCATAATATACTATTACCGAACGTGTGGCATACTATACTTTTTCTATGACCGTTGGTTTTTGGGTACATTTTCGCAAACAACACGATTGCATTCACCGACATGATTGTCAGAATTGACAAACGTCAAAATTCAAAGCGTGGGAAATGTCCGAAATGGCTCGCATTCATGGGAAACGAAACTGACGTGGTAAAGTGACGCTTCCCGCAGGCTATATCGGTGGGTAATTAGGTATTTTACAGACGGGAGTAAAAAAAATTAATTAATGCAGGGCTTTAGGGATGGGGCAATTCATTAAAAGATGATCTTTTGACGTTATGTTGACAAACGTTTCATAATTGTACTAAAGTTTGACAATATTAAAAAATGAAAAAATAAACATAAAAAATGAAAAATGAACACTTTTCAGCTTAAGATAATATTTTAGATCAGTTGGTGATTGACCAGAAGTACAGGCCAGATGTGGTAAATTTATGATTGGAGCAAATACTAAAGGACAATATATTGACAAAAAAAAAAGATTATTATTATATTAAATAATTGACTTGAAGCGGTTCACTTTTACAGAATGTTTTTTAAAGTGGAACGCATCAACGTTCAACCCGATAAAACTTCATGGTTTCAAATTAACTCCACTGTCTATTATTTTGAAAGTTGCAATAAATATTTTATAAATGGATTCGTTCGAGAATTATTCCCAATTTCCACGTATTGGTTGAGACAAATTTCAAAAGACACAAGG